AGAGAGTTTTCAATAGAGGAGTCTAAAATGGCTGAGAGGCACTTGAGAAAGTGCTCAACATCCTTAGCCATCCGGGAAATGCAAATCAAAACAACTCTGAGATACCATCTCACTCCTGTCAGAATGGCTAAAATCAAAAACACCAATGACAATTTATGCTGGAGAGGATGTGGTGAAAGAGGAACACTACTCCATTGCTGGTGGGAGTGCCAACTGGTTCAGCCACTTTGGAAAACAGTATGGAGATTCCTCAGGAAAATGGGAATAAACCTACCACAAGACCCAGCAACTCCACTCTTAGGCATATATCCAAAAGATGCCCATTCATACAACAAGGATGTCTGTTCCACTATGTTCATAGCAGCATTATTTGTAATAGCCAGAATTTGGAAGCAACCTAGATGCCCCTCCACCGAAGAGTGGGTAGAGAAAATGTGGTACATTTACACAATGGAGTAGTATTCAGCAGAAAAAAATGGAATCCTGAGATTTGCAGGCAAATGGATGGCACTAGAAGAAACCATTCTGAATGAGGTAACACATTCACAAAAAGAGAAACATGGCATGTACTCTCTCATATATGGATTTTAGACATAGATCTGGGGAGTGCCAGCCTACAATCCCATGGCCAGAGAGTCTGGGAAACAGAAACTTCATTCAGTGCCTGATGGAAGAAGAGGCAGACTCCCACGGCTAACTGAGCTGAACTCAAGAAAGCCAGTAACAGAGAGAGAGGACTGATGACCAAAGGAGTTAAGACTGGGCTGGTTTAACCCCAGAAACAGCTGACCTGCTAAGGGTTAACTCTTGAATCCCAGACTGATGCCTGGGAATCCAACATGGGACAGATCAAGACCCCCTGATTGTGGGTGTCAGTGAGGAGGCCTAGGTAATCTATTCAGCGTTGGGCAGTAGATCAGTATTCATCCCGAGTATGTACATGGACTTTGGAATCCCATCTAACAATGTGAGATGAACTCTCACCCTGAACATTTGCGGGGAGGGTCTAGGCCCTGTCCTGGATGAAATGACAGTCTATGCACACCCCCATGGAGGGCCTCACCCTCCCTGGGGAAATGAGGGGATAATGGAGGAGTTGGGGGGAGGGCACGGGAGGTAGGGAGGGAAAGGGAGAGGGATCTGGAACTGACTTGTGAAACAACCATGTTTCCAATCTAAATTTAAACTTAAAAAAATTAATAATAAAAAAGAAGTTCTATCATGCAGATCATACAAAGAAATCCATAGGGATTTAAATGGACCCCTGCTCATTTAATTTTTGTTGCTGTGAGAAAACACCTTGACCAAATCAACTCAGGGTTGAAAGGTTTCCTATGTCTTACAGACACAGGTTTTCATCCCGTATTGACAGGAAGTCACAGCAGGAATATAAGAGCAACATCTCACCTACAGTCAGGATCAGAGAGAGAATAAGCACAGGAATCTTTGCTTGGTTGATCCTTTGCTTATAGCCGACTTTCCTTTTCTCCTGTATATTCTGGATGCCTTGCCCAGGCAGTGGCACCACCTGCAATGAGCTGGGTCTCTCCATATTCACTAACAATCAAGATGACCCGCACAGACATATCCCAACATGATTTCAGTCTAATACTCTACCAACTGAGCTATTTCTCCGGCTCCCAATATAATTTCAATAATTCCCAAGTAAGACTTTTTGAAAGTCAATAAATTGAACTAGAAAAAGGTCACTCTATCCCTCAAAGGGCAAACACCGCATCTTTTCACTCCTCTGTGGGTCCTAGTTTCCAATTTTGTATTGTGTGCTCATCCTGGAGTCCATCTTGAAATCAAGAAACTATACACAGCCCATAGGATTGGGGGAAGTTTGCAGAAAGAACGGGAAATAGCAGAATACTAGTAAATGAAAGTAGAGAGTAGAAATCCTGGTGTCAGAAAGGTTCAAACAGTTTGTGAAGAGATGGGAATGAGAAACGGAGGAGTTGTGACAAGGGTCAACCAAAGTTAAGTGTGCCGAAAGAATCAACAGGAGAACAGATGACCTTAGACCCCAAGTAAAATGCATAGTAAGAGGAGGTGGTGGAAGACGTGGGATAGGAAAGAACGTGAGGGGCATGCTGGTGGAGACAAGTTCAGGTGAGAATAGGGGAAAGGAGTGGACACAAGAAGTGAGGATGTGGACATGTGATAGAAAACTAAGGATGTATGAAGAAGCTTTATGCAAATGCACCAGATGGAAAACGAGGTCATACGTGCTATTGCTTTAATGATTTATTTATTCTATATGCACTGGTGTTTTGCCTGCATGTATGTCTGTGTGAAGGTGTCAGATGTCCTGGAACTTGAATTACAGACAGGTGATGTGTTGCAGGGACTTGAACTCAGGTCTTCCGGAACACCAGACATTATTCTAAATGACTGAGTCATGTCTCCAGGCCCAATAGATGCTATTTTAAACAAAAATAGTGCTAAGTGTTATTCCCAAAAGCCATAGGTTATTAAGGAAAATCTCAGTATTGCACACAAATTACCTCCATATTGACCCAACATCCCCAAATGTGACCAAATAGCAAAGTTGATTTGTCACTACTCTTGGTTGCTCAACAGAACAAGTTGGTAGGACACTGTAGCTGAGCCACTGAATACTGTTGTTATAGGTCATAGGAAAATCAGTTTTGAAATCAACAGGAAACACTCCCAGCAAACCAATGTTCATAGTACCCAAAAGGTGTTATGCTGGCATTAGTGACAGAAACATCATCAGTGATCACACCCATGGCTGGACAATGTATGGTATAATAATGGTCTGCAAGGCATGATGAACGCACTTCTCTAGTGCTTGCAATTCTCTTCCTGGGGCTAATCATTTGTTCTCCTCATTGGATGTGAGTTCTGATTCATATGAGTTAGTATATTTTGACACTGTAAACAGAGTCTAATCCTATTATTAGTGAGCTCATTGTTCCTTGGAAATGCTGGGGGAGGGCTTACTAAACTTCTGCTAAATGATCATGTTGTTAATCTGCATTGCATATATTTATGTTTGCATGCATGTCTGCGCTGTTCTCCACACTGGTTAGAGGAACTTGTAGTTGCAATGAGTAGTGGTCAATGTAAATAAACATAACTATTCTAAGCACTGACACTAAGCAACCGTGAGTGCTCAGCCACAGATGGGACATCTACATCCACCCGCCCCTGCCATTAGGCTTCAGGCAGTATTGCAGATGAGGAGGCAGAAAGAACACAAGAGACAGATTACATGGAGGAGCGCTGTGAAATACTGTCCCTGGTTATGGTATGACTATGGCACATGTGAACACATGGTCGCTGTGGTTACCTTCCAAGACCTGAACACACAAAAGCCAGGAAAATCTCCTGGGAGCTGCTATTGTGGCTGAACCTCCAGTGTAGGCGCTATTGGCAATTGATGGCTGCTAGAGAAGGAAGAGTCACTTCTCTCTGGGGAGATGGACCCTGGCCATCAGTGGATGACCCCAAGGCTCTGTGCACTTCAGAAGAACTAGCTGGACACAGTGGGTTAAATAGGTGCATACTTAATCAATCAAAAGTAGGATAGGAAGTCTAGACAGATACATGTTGGGGAAGTCCAGGGTAGTATAGAAATGGTCCAGGGTAAAGATGCAGGAGATGTTTCAGGTGACAATGATCAAGAAATAGTGTATTTAAGCATGAAATATCAAAGAATACAAAAGAGTTTTAAAAAGAGATTCTTATCTCAGGTGGTTCTATGTCCTGTCAGTCAGACCGCTAAACTAAGTATTACAGACCACAAACTGGTAATAACAGAAAGAAATAAAACAGGTTATCAAATATTCCAGCAGACAGCTTAAATTTTCCTGCTTGAAACAGTGCTGTCACAAAGAGCTATAGTCCTAACAGGTGGGGAAAATCAGGGTGCATAGTTGTCTAAACTAAATAGGTGTGAGGCCCTTAATGTATGTTTCTCATTTGTCTTTCTGCTTCTTTCCTTGGAGCTTGAGCAGTGGTTCCGTGTGATCAAAAGCAGAGTGAAGTCTGGGATCTGTACCAGTAATCTTCATGCTCTCCTCGCACTTTCTATTTCCTGCTTTACCCAGTCATCAGGAAAACACTGTGAAGCCCTTGTTCTTTATGAGGAAGACAGACAGGTACAGAGGCTTTCAGTCTTTATGTTTGCACTACCATATCTCATACCTGTGATCCAGGGATCAGATTTACATGTGAAGGTCTAAAGATGCTAACATTGGAAACAAAGGCCAGTATTCATATTTTGTGACCACATGCAAGAGAGAATTCTATGGGTCAAGAACACTCCTTGGTGACTAGAGCCAAACTAGGTACATTTCATCCCAAACCTGTTTGTGTCCTAGAGGATTGACACATGTGGAGAAGCCCTGTATCTCTTGCTTGAGGTGGGACAAAATGAACCCTACTTACTCATTATCTAGTGAGCCTTGTCCAGTAAACCTTTACAGTGCTCCCTCCTCACTGAGTTATGCTTCCTTTCAAACCATGCTACCTTACCCACTTCCTGGTTGTTAACTTAAGACTCTTGACGTTGAAATGTCAGCTCCTCAGTACAAGCATTGCTAAATTTTCCCCAAATTCCTACACACAACCCCCACTTTACTTTCAGGAAGAAAGCAAGAAGATCTTTGCAGCTAGTAGCATGCATATCTGTTCTTCAAGTTTATTTCTGTTCTAACCATAGAAGACGGGATTCAATTCTTCCCCCTTTGTAAAGTGGGGAAATTCCTGGAAGCCCATTCCTCCCGACTTTATTCAGGAAAGCCTCTCTGTTGGCCCTGTCTGTGTTGTATTGTGTTGTGTTATGTTGTGTTGTAAATCCTTGCTTAAGACAACACTAAAAATGCTGCTCTGTCTCAAAACCATTGCAGCCAAGGAGGAGACTTTCATGAGGGCATCTGGGAAGCTTCTCTTGTCATCGTGTCGTTGAGAATGAATGCTGTAGTATGGCAATGAGTCAAATGGAGAAGCTGTGTGACTGTGGCTCGTACCTCTACAACGCAAGAGTCCTGGAAGTCCTGGTTCTTCTTATTCCTCTTTGAATGAGGAGCATGTTGCTTGCCTTCCTCGTTGTCTTCTCGTGGCCTCTTCCTGAAAATAGTTTAAAAAGGGAGAGGAAAATCTGTCATCATTCAGCAATTGACTTTTGGGTGCTTAACTTTCAGCCCTGTTCCAATACCCAAATCTGTGACCTTGTCTAGGAATGAACCAGTCAGGACTGCTCTGCTGGATTCACACACTCTGCAGGCAGATGGCACCGGGCAGTGAAGGAAATATATTCAACAGAAATTCCATGCGTACCCAAGACAAGTTCAAGATCCCCAAGCCAGAATATTCATTTGAACTACTGTTTGAGACCAAACACATGAAAAAAATTAATGGACAAATGTTAAAACTCTACCTGGCCAGGCCCATTCTTGTCACCCAGTTATATATTCGCTCCAGTTTATAGGATTCTCGGCCCTGCCACAGGGCACGTTTCAAGGTACGTAGAGCTTCTCTGCTGTAGCTGCTCTTCTGTTCTTTTCTCTAGTGGCTACAAACAGATACCACTCGTGTACAGTGAGATCATTCCTGTTGCTATAACAACAATTATTATGTCACTGTAGCTAGTTCCCTTGACTGCCACCATGAAACTCTGGCTGAATGCTTACTTGAAACTGTATCTCCAATGTATTTTAATGCTTCATTCCCTTATGCCTTCCACCTACCCTCTCTCCACAAATAGTTTGTGATATTGATGGTAGTGTTCTTGAATATGTTTTTATAGGGATATTATTCAGCAGCAATTTAATTAAAGATAATTGATAGTTTTTTTGTAGCCATATATTTTTCTGAGTTCACTTATCCTTCTGTAGTTTTTAATCTTGCTTTAGTGTCAGACAGAACACTCATGGTCAGTTGTCTCACTAAGCTTAAAGACTTTTCAAATAAACCATTTAAAAAAACTAAGCTGTATATAAAATGCAAAATTCATACATAGACAAAAAACGTTTACACATATTATTTGCAGAATCTATTGCTGGTTACAATTGGAATTTTTCCTTATTTTTGTCTTTATCTAAATTTTTTATTATTTATTTTTAAATTTAAATTTAAATTAGAAACAAGGTTGCTTCACAAGTCAGTTCCAGGTCCCTCTCTGTTTCCCTCCCCTCCTCCCGTGCCCTCCCCCCAAACCCCCTTAATATCCCCTCATTTCCCCAGGGAGGGTGAGGCCCTCCATCGGGGTGTCCATAATCTGTCATTTCTTCCAGGGCAGGGCCTAGACCCTCCCCCAAGAGTTCAGGGTGAGAGTGCATCTCACATTGTTGGATGGGCGTCCAAAGTCCCTGTGTATATTCGGGATGAGTACTGATCTACTGCCCAAAGCTCAATGTTATGATCTATGTATAGTGGTTGAGTGGAATGTGATTGAAAACAAAAATTAAGGCTTGGTGTCAGGTCCTTTAACCATTTTTAAAATTCTATTGATTCACAGGTTCATATAACTTACTCTCATCACACCTACTTAAAATTTCTCTTCTGTCCCTCCTGCCACCTTCACCTCCCATCTCCATGTACCTTTTCACATCCTCCTGAGACCACGTAATGGTGCCTATATATGTGTGGGTTTATGGAAGTCTACTGGAGCCTGGGTCCCTCTCAGGAGCCAAATTCCTAATAAAACTGGAATCTTCCCCAATAACCATCAATTGCTGAGAGATCCTCAGCTAGGGGTGTAAATTCATGAGCTACTCCCTAATCAGTGCTGAGATTTTTCCTGGGTTTATCTTGTGTAGGTGTTGTGAATGTGGTCACAGCTGCCTTTGAATTCAGGTGGGCATCAGTTCTGTCTTGTGTGTCCAAAAATGGAGTTTCCCTACAAATGTCAGCCACCTCTGACTTTGACAGTCTTTGCTTCCCTTCTTCTTGGGGACCCCAGGGAAATTGGAAGGGACAGATTCATGCTTTACATATACCATTCAGGGAGATGGGGGCATACCAAATCAATTACTCTCTTCATGTTGACCATTAAAGATTTTGTGTTAATTGCCATCTGCTTCAAAAGGCAGAGTTCTTAGATGAACTAATGTGTGGAATAAATACAAGTTAGAGGGAAGTTTAATATTATTTCAATTCGTCAGAATAATAGTACTAAATTCTATGTAAGACTTAATAATCTAAAGACTTTGGCTGCCTGATCCTTGCTTGGAGGCTTATTACTCAAGGATTTAACCCCCAGTGTCTGTGAGACAATGGAGCCAATGCAATCCTTGATTCTGAGCAGAAGAGAGGACCAGAACTAGTAAGAACTTCGAAGTTCTACACTTGTTCCTTAGGAAGCTCAGTTCCTTGAGGCCAGCATCCCAGGTCTGCAATGTTGAGACCCTTGTCCCCTGATTTGTGCTATTGTCACACGTTGAAGACCTAGAATCTCAAGACCTTCTGCCATTCCCAACTCCTCATACTCTTCCGGGGAGGGAGATTCCATCCTTTCTCATTCCTGGCTCCGCACAGCCTCTTGTCTTTCTCCAGCATCAGAGCTCTTCCTCCTCTGCATCTCTGCTGTCCCTTGTTGCATCCTCTCCTTCTGCTCCCCACCATTTCTGCCCTAGTCTGTCTGCCCCAAGAACTCTTCCACTGCCCTGGTCAGTTCAGCTACTGGAGCTAACACAAGGGCTGCTGCCTCTGCAGGGACAGCAGATGCTGCTTGTATGAATGTGCTGCCTCAGCTGCCATCTCCTCCTTAAAACAGGAGAGGAAAAACAGACCCAGGAAGTAAATAAAGCTGCCAGCTCATACAGCAAGAAAAACAAAAACCACTGAAAGCAGTAAGAAGACACAGTGGTTACTGCTTTTCCCTCTGTGCTCTAGATGTCCTTTTACAAATCAGGTCACTTTTAAACCTACTTTAGCCTACTTATTGACTTCTGTTAAAATGTCTGTCCTTTACTGCTACCATCCCACAGCAAGTACTTTTAGTAAATTGTGTTTAAAATGCCAAGCAACGCTTGTCCTTCTGTGACAGATCAGAGGGACCTGCCTCTCACTCCAGCCCTGGGATATTAAGTCCCATTTATCATTGTTAAATAATGTTAAGTACTGTTAAATTCTGGAACTCTTAGTGCTATCTGAAGTTTTTCTTGACTCTACTGTAAGTCTTTTGTACATTGTCTGCATGAGAATCAGACGCTTAGGATGGGACTTTGTCACGGGCTGTCTGCTTGTGCCAGTTGCCCTTAAGCAACTCCAGCTTGGAAATCTTGCTGTATGCCCTGGTTGTTGCCTGGTGGTTTGGATCAGTGCCCAGATGCCTTGAGTACACTGCAGTGCATAGACAAATGCATTCCAGTTCCAGGTCCAGAAGGAACTCTACCCACCAGCGTGATTTCAATAATTTTTGGGGGGGTTGCATTTTGGCATCACAGCCTTGGGTATACACCTCAGAAGGCTCTGAAGCCATTTCACCTAGTCCGGAGGGCAGCACTTGCTCTGGTGGCCAAGTGGGATGGCTACCATTGGTGCAGTTCCCAACACTCCATTAGCATGAAGGTGTCACACCCCCATTCTTGCTGTATCAGATGGCAGCTTGATTCACTTTCTGTGTCTGCTTACCCTCTCCTGTTTTAGAAGAACATCCCTTATAGATCTTTCTTGCCAATGTGGGGTATGGGCATTTGTCACTTTTGACACGCTGGGCTAAGCTGGTAGCCTGCAGCTGAGGCAGCGCACTCACCCAAGCAGCATCTGCTGTCCCTGCAGAGGCAGCAGCCCTTGTGGTATCTCCAGTTGCAGAACGCGGGCAGTGGAAGAATAGCAGGAAGGGGGCGGTGGCTCTCTGTGAAGACATTTCCTTCATTGCTCTTCCAATGCATCCTGCTCCCCTCGTCCATTCCATTCTCAGAAATTCTCTATCCCCTTTCCCTCCATCTTACCAGTCTCCACCCCATGTTTCTCCCATAGATCTCATCTAATTTCCCTTCCTAGGGATATCCATTTGTCCCTCTTAGACTCTTCATTGTTACCTAGCTCCTCTGGAACTGTGGATTATAGTCTGGTTATTCTTTGCATTATATCTAATATCTGCTTATGAGTGAACACTTACTGTGTTTGTCTTTCTGAGTCTGGGTTACCTCACTTGGGATTGGCTTTTCTAGTTCCATCCATTTGCATGCGAATTTCATGAGGTCTTCAGTTTTTTACAGCTGAGTAGTATTCCTCTGTGTAAATGTACCACATTTTCCTTATCCATTCTTCAGTTGAAGGACATCTAGGTTGTTTCCAGATTCTGGCTATTACAAATACTGCTGCTATTATATAGTTGGACAGATGTCCTTGTGCTATGATTGGACATCCTTTGGTAAATGCCCAAGAGTGGTATCTCTGGGTCTTGAGGTAGAATGATTCCCAATTGGGAGCCATTATAAGTTGGAGGAGAGATCTGGCACTAGTGAGATCTTCACAGATCTACAAGAATGACACCAACTGGCATTAAGGCTACCTTAAATGTCATCCCATGATAATGAGAATGATGACTACCTTATATGCCATCCTAAAACTCTCATCCAGTGGCTGACGGAGGCAGAGGCAGACACCCACAGCTGGGAACCAAATTGACCTCCTGTAACCCAGTTGCAAAGAGGAGTGATGAGCAAAGGAATAAAGATCAGACTGACGAAACCCCCAGAGGCAGCTGACCTAAACAAAGGGGAACACATGGACCCCAGACTGATGACTGAGGAGACAGCATAAGACTGATCCAGACACCCCTCCAATCTGGGGGTTCTATAGGAGGCCTCGGCAATCTGTGGAACCTTGGAGAGTAGAGCAGTATTTATTCCTGGCATACAGATTCACTCTGGGAACCCATTCCACATGGAGGGATGCTCTCTCAGCCTGCACTCTTAGGGGAGTGCCTGGACCCTGCCCTGAGTGAAATGATAGACTCTAGATATCTCCTACCTGGAAGGATGTGGGGATAGGGTGGGAGGCTGGGGGGGGATGGTGGGGGTGCGGGAGGAGGGGAGGGAGAGGAAACTGGGATTGACATGTGAAGCAAGCTATTTAAAATTAAAGTAATAAAATAAATAAAGGCCAAAAAGGAAATACTGATTTTTAAACATTTTTAAAATTTTAAATAGCTTGTTTTACATGTCAATCCCAGTTCCCTCTCCCTCCCCTCCTCCCACACCCCCTCACCATCCCCCCATCCTCTCACCCTATTGCCAAATCCTTCCGCATAGGGGATATCTAGAGTCTATCATTTCAGTCAGGGTAGGGTCCAGGCACTTCCCTAAGAGTCCAGGGAGAGAGAGCAACCCTCTTTGTGTTATGGACACACGATGTCTGTTAGTATTCGAGGGATAAACACTGATCCATTGCTCAGGACCCCATACGTAGCCCAGGCCTCCTCATTGACTCTCACATTCAGGGGGTCTGGATCAGTCCCATGCTGACCTCCCAGCTGTCGGTCTGGGGTCCAAGAGCTCTTCCCTGTTCAGATCAGCTGTCTCTGCTGGTTTTGCCAGCCCATTCTTTGCCAATTTGCTCATCGCTCCT